CCCCCCCCCCCCCGGCTTCGATCCTGTCCATTTTGTAGCCGGGGCTCGCGAGCTCGCGTCGCTTCGCGCCCCGCTCACTAATTCTAACGCCGCGGATCAAAGAACCACGTCCCGCCTGGCTCATTAGTCATAATGACGCCCCGACGCCTGGAATTATCGTCGATAAACGACCTGGCCTCTGCACACCGATCGAGGAGAATCTCTCGCGCCGCGCATTAGGGATAGAAAGAGCAGCTCGGGCGAAAAAAAAGGGGGGGAGGGGAAAGAAAAGAAAAAAAATTCGCCGTTGGCCGAAATTCGCTAGACGAATAAATTCTCTCACGCTTACTCGCGAGTAGGCTTCTCGGCGAGGATCGATCGATGAGCTGGTTGACGTCGAGAAACTTGAGAATAAAAATAGCAGGGATACCGGATGGCTAACGAGCGTGTGGACGCTACGGAAACGTGGCAAAGGGGCGATTAACCCCTCGTCAAGGAAACGATCGAGAAGTGTCCTCCCGTTGTAATACGAGTGATTTACCCACGACGTAAGTTTTTGCGATCGAAATATATATATATACGGTGCATTCGCTGTGCACGGAATGTCTGCCAATTGCTTTTCATCTTCGCGGAAGAGACATCTTCGTATATCTGTCGCAGCAGCGTTTTTAATTCGACTCTGTACGGAAGTAAGGTATGTAATTAGATACGCAAGAAGATGAAGAAACGTAAGGAGCGTGGTAATAAATTTTTTTATACACTATAAAAGTTCTATATTATATAGCTCTATTCTATAGAAGTAATTAATAAAAATTATTCATTTGAATCTTCAGCTTTTATTAGCGTTTATACGTCTTCTAATTAAATTCGTCGTTGGATTTCATCAATTTACACAACAGGTGTAATTTCTAATAATTTTCGAGACGTTTGTCGAAATAGATTCCTAATTGACTAAATTTTGAGGTTAGTTTACCCTCTTCAACATGGACAATGCACGTGGCAAAAAATCCGTAGAAACGACTGATAAAAATTATTCATTTGAATCTTTATCAAAATCAACAAGTACTCCCTTTTAGTATCTATACGTTTGTTTCACAAAATATATTTCAATTAGAAAATACTGATTTCATAAATTTGCATAATATCTCTAGTAATTTTCCAGACGTTTGTCGAAATAGATTCCAGAGCTTCAATTTTGAGGTTAGTTTGCCTTCTTCAACATGGACGCTGCGCGGGCAAAAAGTCCACAAAAATAAATTAATCAAAATTATTATATACTTGAATCTTTATCAAAATCAATAAGTACTCCCTTTTAGTATCTATACGTTTGTTTCACAAAATATTTTTCAATTAGAAAATACTGATTTCATAAATTTGCATAATATCTCTAGTAATTTTCCAGACGTTTGTCGAAATAGATTCCAGAGCCTCAATTTTGAGGTTAGTTTACCTTCAACATGGACGCTTCACGTAGCGAAAGGTCTGTAGAAATAACAAATTAATAAAAATTATTTACTTCAATCTTTATCGAAATAT